TCACGTTTGTTCCCTTTGTTTTATTCTCTGGGGCTCTCTATTATGCTACTTTCCTTTCTGGTCACATTTCATGCCTTGTTTGTATGTTGTAGTATTTATATATACAGTAAGCTCAGAATTTTCCATTAATGGCCAAGTGAGATGTTGTACAATCTACTGTGGGAACTTGCTGTGCATTTCTTTAAGGCATATGACCTAAACGTTCTATAACAATAAATGTAACAATAGGTATTTTGTACTATATCAGTGCAGGCTGACTAACAGGTTGTATTTTCAGTTAAATTGGAATAAATTGGATTCAGACAACTTCAGTATTGTGATATGTGTAAGAAAGAACAGGAACATCAAAGCAGATCCACTGAGGAGAGTTCAATTGAAGCCCTTTTGCATTATGCTGGTAAAAGAAAGCAGAATTTGGCACAAGCAGCATGAATCCATGGAGCCATCCTGTGTGAGGCTACATCTCAGTAAATTACATGTATGTTAGGTGCCAGTCCCTCACGGTAAGGCAAGTTTATTTGTATAGCACATTTCAACAACAAACATAAAGGCAACATAGGTTGCTATAAAAGGGGAAAATATAAAAAAATACTTTTAAATACAATAAAAAAAAAAAAGAGTCAAATAGAAAATAAAAACAGGTTAATTTACTTGGTATACCTATTTGTTCACCGACTTTGTAGAATCTTCATAATTTCTATAATGAGTTACAAATAATCAGGCTTTTCTCCTTCCCTTGTTTTGCTTTTTTGATTTCCCATCTCTCACACCAGTCAAACCTGATCGTCTTTATTGTACGGTGTGGCTACAGTTTATCCACACCACCAGCATGATGATGCACCATGTCACAAGGCATCATCATCAAATAGTTTGAGGAACACGACAGTGGGTTTTGCTTCAGTGGCCTGCACAGTTCCCGGACCTCAACCCTACTGAGCATCTTTCTGGTGGGCGTGGTGGGTTTTCTAAGTGACTGTGCAGCTGTTGAAGCTGCAGCAACTGCCCAACCCATTGAACTCCATACTGTGCAATGCTACAACTGTAAATAGTTGTACAGAATAAAGTGGCTACTCTGTATGTATTATCCATGTGTGCAATGTAGAGCCCAACTGATATGGGATTTTTATGTCCGATACCGATTTCGATATTTGAGGATTTTAAAATCCAATAACTGATATATTGTCCAATTTTCTTTTTCCCCCTTATTTTAAGAAACGCATAACATAAACAAATATTATCCCTAACATTTGTTATGTTGAGACCTAGACTTGTTTTGTGATGCTGCAGTGTTGGTAACAGAGGAGCTGCAGCTCGCCCTCTGGTGGGCAAACTATGTAACACTCATGACATGAGGGAAGGATCCGAATCTCTGTTTCCCTTTTTTAATAGTTGTATATCAGCTGTTATAAACGCTGATGCAGATATATCTGCAAGTAGCTTACATCGGCCGATAATATTGGCAAAACAATAAATCGGTCGGGCTCTAGTGCAATGGTGCGCATGTGTTCATGTGTGACTATGTGCATGGATGCATGTCAACAAATGCTTTGTCTTTGCTCCCACTAGTTTACCTGTGGAGGTGATAATGGCACAGGTCACTCCTTCTCGTGATACAGTCGAGATAGGCCTGATCTTTTATTGTGCAGTAGCGGGAAAAGCTGGTGTCCCGCTGAGGTGCTGATTGCCTTGTAGTGAACTATTTTTTAGTTGAGCTCTAATAGACCTCCATAGTGTGTATTTCTTTTCCTGTCTGAGCTCAACTGTCACTCAATACGTTTGTTTAATGTAATTATTCGTATAGGAGACGTCCATCACAGAAATAATTTCTTTCTGAATTTTCAGTTCTTGAGCACTTTCCTATTTCTCAGAACTCGAAAATGACCAAGCATTATCAACAACAGGTACTTGCAAACCCAATTTTTACTGTCCTTGCCTGTCCTTCTGCATCAAAATTTGACTTTGTGGTTGTTACTTGTAGAGCACACTCTATGGCTTAATGAAAATCTCATTAGGCCAGTACACCCAGCCAAAACAGCTAAATGTAGTGTGTGGTCTTACCTACCCTGACAGTGTGTGTGATTTTGCCAGCGAGTGGTTGAGGAGTGCCATCTGAATCTTTCTTCTCCATGCAAAGTGACCAGCGATATTTACAACACTCAGCTAGAAATACTTATTTCAGAGTGCAACAACACTCAGAGTGGATGAGCGAATATAGTTGTTTAAAGCCACCTGCTGCCAATTAGAAACCACAACCTGTGCTTTCTCAAATGTAGTTTAATTTGCCAAGCTCAGCTTTTTGCAAGCTTGCACAGATTGTTTTGGATTTGATCTAAAGAACCCTTAACTTTGAGAAATTCAAAATGTCATTGTCACACATTGACATAAGCCCAGCTCACTGACCAATATTATAAACAATAAAATATAGTATTTTATGATCTTTAATTTGTTACAGTTACAGTTGTGATATAATGTAGACTCTCTTGACTGTAGGTGGGGCCTTTTTCCACTACTATCTACAACTGTAGCTCTGCACATGGCAGTAGTCCCAAAGCAGTCTGGTTGGACGAAAGCATCAACATGGCACACATATTGTAAATCCTCCTGCACAGACATGCACTGTTTGAGTTCCTTCCTGCCACTTGGCTCCTATGAGCCCACATCTGATTCACAGGGACCGTTGTCATGCCAACACAGTGTTGGCAAGCACCAAAACAGAGTGGCAGAGGCTACTGACACTGCAGGGAGCCCTCCAAGTACACATGAAGGCGTAATATACATACTGTACTGTGCTTGCATGTCTTTTTGCTGTGTGGATTTATACCATACATGCATGTGGTTGTTATGTCTGTCTGTACCAGAAGTAAAGCCAGGAACTGTGAGAACTATGGTATTTGGCCTGTAGAAACAGATTTGTTGTAAATACACGGCATCATTTAGCCAAAATAATAGCCCAAGCCGTTTTGATTAAGGACTTACTAAGAGTGCTAGAGTGGCAGTGAGATTTTGTTTACAGTGTTTGTTTTTTCTCTGCGTTTATGCAGGCTCTCTGCTGTGCTCTGGGCATTTTGTGGATTAGTAAGCATGTTATGTATTAAAATACTTTTGCTAGTGTGTGCGTGTGTTGTTTCTCTGACCTTTTCATGACTTCACTGACAAACTAATTAATTAATTGGCTTGATTGCAGAAAAGTGCCCTAGGTGTGTTTAAAGTTAATTGAAGGATGTTTGAATGTACATTACATATTTATGTTTTGAACAGCCTACAGTATGAGGGTGTGTATGTGCATATTTCAGATGTGTAAAACAGTGAATTTTGCTCGCATTCTGTCAGGGACCAGAAATGGGTTCACGGTGGGGAGATAAGGAAGTGAGGGAAATAAATGAGGCTTGGCCTAGAAGATCAATCAGAGGTCTCACCTTTTCTTTCATTTCTGTCAATGGGGAACAGAGAGCACAGCCGGCACCTGTCTACTGCAGGGACACCTTTACAGTATAGCCGAACACACTGACAGAGACAAAAAGGGGGAAACGATGACCGGGAAATCATTCAGAAAGACAGCGATGGGGACTGGGAGGGAACGACTTGTATAGCATTGAGAGGGAAAGAGAGAGAATAAAGGGTTTAAACATGGAAAAAAAGAGACAGAGGGAGTCTGTTCTCAGGAGACAGGCAGGGTAAAGATGTGTTAAGCTGAGATCAGAGAGGGGGATCAGTCCATGTATCCTCTGTCTGCTGAGTGTTTTTTTTACAGCGGGAAGTCGATAAACAACCGTTCTCTCCTCTAGTATGCCATTTCTCTCTTAGCTAGTGTATGTTTAGCCTGGTGGAGGCGAGCTATGGAAGGGGTTAGCCGGGTTTCCATCTTCAGAATCCCAAGTGGATATCAAGATAATAAGCATGTGCTTTGGAAATAGTTTTAGCAGCAGTGCAGCAATAACGACTTGTATGGATAGCTTATTTACTTGAGACAGACACGGAGAAGACATTTTTTTATTTCTTCTCATGAAAAGAGTAAATGTTCTATTTAGGCCCAACATTTAGGCATTCATTATATAGTAGATGTGGATGCAGACAGTGGATGCACCTGAATTTTAGAGGAAGTAAGTAATTGCAGCAGTAAGCCCTTGAGAAAATAATGCACTTGTAACAAGACCCAGCAACAAATCCTGTTATTTTACTATCAAGTCACTTCAGATGACATCCAGCTGGCTGCTTCTCATAGTGGCCCAGGTTACATCACCTTGATATGTCTCCATGCCAGAGTAGAATATAGTTTGGAGGAAGTAGACTACATCATTTAGTAGGATGTCTGCTGGCTGCAACATCCTACTGCTGTATCCTAGCAACCAGTTTAGAAGAAGGGCTCGCTCAGGCAAAGCTTGAGTTCCAGCTGGTGATCTCTGAGGGGTGTGTGTGTGTGTGTGTGTGTGTGTCCGTTAGCTTGCTGGGATAATGGATGAGTGTTGTAGCGATGAGTGTGCTGGCTCAGTCCTGCAGGGAAGATCAATATCAACTATACATTCATCTCTAATTACCACAGCGGAACTTCGAAGGAATCTCTTTCACCTTCCCGCCCTCTTGCTCACTTTCACTATGTTTTTTCTATATTTCTTTCTTGATCTCCCTCTGTCTTTTTTCTCCACTCTGTCCCTTTTCTCAGTCTGTCTTTCTCTGTATTTTTCTAATTTATTGGCATGAAGAAAAATAAAACCTATGTTGCCAAAGAACCTTGATACAATACATTAGTCACAGACCAATATTTTCACATTACAGTTTCTCCTGTCTTGTATGAACGTACTTTATCTGTCTCTCATGTCCCTCCTTCCTCTCCCTCTATGCACACTCCATTATAATTTATGAACCCAGAATGTAAAAACCTAAATACCTCCTTTTTGTCTCTTGTCTACAGGCTTCACAACATCACAATGATGACAACTTGTCTTGTTTTATGACAATATTTGACTGATTTATCCCCCCCTTATTCTTTCTCTCTCTGACAGTGCTGAGTATAGGGGAAGGAGGTTTCTGGGAAGGCACGGTCAAAGGGAGGACAGGCTGGTTCCCAGCAGACTATGTGGAAGAAGTTCAGATGAGGCAGTATGACCCACGGCTTGGTAAGACGTCTGCATGCACACAGACACTAACACATACTTTACACACACACTGTTACAATCCAACAAGTTTCTGTCTTGTTGCACTGGTGTTTGGCCATAGCTTTGTCCGTGGTGCTGAAAAGCAAAGAAGGTCATATAGTTATAGAGTGGGTGTAGGCCCTGCTTGTTTATTCTCATCATATATACATTATGTTCTCCAGGAAAACCTATAAGTTGTCCAAAATTATTATAATTAATCTTTTGACCTTTGTTTGGCTAGGCAAAAAAAAGTAGCAGCAATTTTGTTGATTCTAATTACGGGGAGCCCTGTACTGTACATTGCACGATTACATTCAAAGTCAATGCAAAGACACTGAGGGATGCAATTTTCTGCCGGGCACGCTGGAAACAATTTGTAGTACGCGACTATGCGAAAAAGCACGTGCTACTCTCTACAGAGTTGAACATTTTTAGCTCAAGCATGAAATTCTTGTAAAGCTATGTTGCAATAGCTGATCAGTGGTCAGACTGTCTGGACGTCAACATACTGGTCTTTAAACTTGTATTAGAGTTGAATACAATTTGCACTTCCTATTTTTTAACATACAACAGGTTGGCCAGGCCATTTTTGATTAGCTCTTCCCTGTTTCTCGATTATGACAATGTAAGCTTAGGTGAAAGACTCTTTTGCAAGATTTTGGCAGTTTCCCATTAAAACAATCTGTTTTCCTCAGAGTATTAAAAGCTTGTCTTTCCTCCTTCATTCACTGACATTTCTCTCCGATGCGGACTGATTGTCTCGAGTTTTCCACCAAAGATTGTCAGGCTTTTAGGGACTTAATTAGTGCTTAATTAAATGCCGGTGCACTGAAAAGGTTGACCAATTTAGCCTGTTTACAAACAGGGCCAATATCAATTGCAAGACTGAGGCACATTTTTCAGCAGCAGCAGATTCTTTTATTTATTCTAAATTGTCATACTATGTCAACATTTCATAATTCAAAGATGTATTTCCTTAATTTAACGTGAAAAATGTTCAAAATGAGTGTGATTAAAAACTTGTGGCATAACACAGCTTCAGGTATAGAAAGCCCACACACACAATTGCACTGCAAAAAAGTAAGTATGTTTACCGATTAGATTTTTTAAACTAAATAACCCACAGTTTGAAACAAAATTCCATCCTTAAATCCGCCCACACTCAGTTTGTTATTTCCCTAACTCTGTTAACAGCCACCTGAGAATGTGCTTGAGTTTCAGATGTTTAATTAGATATAGAGATTGGATAGTATGGGCAAGGGAGGGAGGCAGACGATAACCAGAGAGTGATGGCCCATACTCAAAATTACTTAAATTGCAACATCCATAATTATATTTTGTTTTGGCTCCAATATATCTTTCATTTCAGCCAGATATTTCTTGCTTTATTGAGATTTCTTTAACCTTGAGACAAGGTGGCAGAGATTTTGGCAATAAAGGTAATAACTGATTTTTTATCTTAATGGTTTGGTAGTTCTCCGTTTTGTGTGTGCTCTGAAAAAAACAGGTTTTTCTACACAGACCTGGCTCTATAAATGGAAAACAAAGAAGGTGGTGTGGACCTTGCCACACAACATTGTTTCAGCCAATAAGCAACAGGTGGCATTAGTGCTTATGCACAGGAGTGATGGTGGGAGGAGGGCAGTGGGAGAGAGAGTTCTATACGCTGGTACATTGGAACGTGCTGGACTATAGGCACTGTGAAGAAGGAGAGATGGCCGAGAAACAGCCAAAGAGGGAAAGGTCTAAAGAGTACAAACATTCTTTTGTCGTTTTATGACAAGGCAGGGCGAAGGTGTTTCAGTCCTAGAACCTCCAAGATTTGAAATCTTGGGGCGGAGCTTCTGAGGCAGCACTGAAGAGAGTGGTGTATTTGTTTGGCAGTTGAGTTCAAATATCAGCAATCCTTCTGCAGAATAACTTGATCTCCCTTTAAAGGGGCAATATGTAGTTTTCAGCGGTACGGTTTTAAGGTTGCAACCAGGTGTGTGCTTGTATGTGTGCTCACCTGAACTCATGAGCGAGCATAATCCAAAACACAACCGCTTTCATACAGAGATCCCACAAACAACGCGGAAACACGGGCATGCCAGCTGTGGCTTTTTACATAGACATGTTCAGGCTCTGTTACTTCAACATTCCCGGCTCATACAGCGCTGCGACCCGGCATATTGGAACAATATTCCCGGAAAAAAAGGCAGTGTGACAGCGGCTAGGGACAGACAGGGAGACAGCTTCACCTAACATGCTGGAAACTCAGGTAAACTCCCACTGCATCCATCCATCCAATCCATGCTTGGTACATGATAACGTTACATTTACTGCATTTTTTTAACTGTGTATATTTCACCAGAGGCTCAGTAATGTCAACACAGCCAAATGTATTAGATGATAACGAAACGTTTAATGAGTGAATATTATAAATGAGATTGTGTTTAAATAAATGTTTAACTACACTATGCCTCCGCAGGTTCACCACGGTCACTGGTATATTATGTGGGTCATGTTAGTTATAGGGACTGAGAGGTGGAGAAGTTGTGTACCTGAATATTAGTAAAACAACAGTGGTAGATGCGTGCGAAAGTAGCTGGCTGCTCCTGCCTTGCATCAAGGCTAATATAAACAAGTCCTCCACATTTGCTTTGTACTGTTACATCCTTCAACACTTTGACATAATACTGGTGGTACCCAGGATGGTAATGATGGGATTGTGTTAGCTGTCGAAGTAATGTGAAAGCCATAAGGTTACAAATTATATATTGCGCTGGATAATGTTAGCAACTGCTTAGCGTAAGCCAGAGAGCTAACATGACTCCCTTGTGACTCCAGTCTTTCTGAGGTTCACTGTGTTTTCAACCGACATTGTCTGAATTATGTTTGGCCTGACAGGCATCAGCACAGAAACCTTTAATTTTGTTTTGTATACTTACATGGAGTTTATGTTGGAGTTGTTATTACGAGACAGTTGTTTTGTGGTGTTGTTGTGTCGACTGCATATTGTTAGCTGCGGTATTATCGCTGTAGTTGGAGAGAGGCTCGGGAGTGCGCATAGGGCTACATCCCGACCTGGTGCCTTCACATTAAAAGCACAATAGTGTCTGTTCCAAGCAACAGAGAAAACAGGTGTGTGCTTCATTTCTAAGTGAGGCTACACTCCATTGACAATAAGGCAGTAAAAATTTGATTTATTAATAAGTGATTTTATTGAAAACTCGTTAGTTTGCCAGCAAAACTGCTACTTAACTTTATTGAAATAAAATGACTCAGTGTGATATCATCTATCTTTGGGCAGTTGTAGAAAATTTACAGAAAAACCACAACCAAGAATAAAAAAAAACACACCACCTAACAACAAACTGGGCCCAGTCTTGCAGTGGTGAAAGTGCATTAACACTATAAATCTGGTCAAAGGTCATCTTTTTTTAAAATAACTATTTTGTGAGGATTATCCTCCTTATTACACACTCTTAAGTATACGCTGACCCTGTGACAGATTTGAAGGAAACACTTTGTAAATAACTGGGAATACATCAGATTAATGTGACCACATCCCTGTTTAGACTGGGGCAACAACATCTGCAGGATCATGAAAAACATCTGGTCATTGTGTGTAAAAGTTTAGAAATGGGACGAAGACAAGTTTGTCATAAATACAGTGGGGAGAACAAGTATTTGATACACTGCTGATTTTGCAGGTTTTCCTACATACAAAGCATGTAGAGGTCTGTAATTTTATCATAGGTACACTTCAACTGTGAGAGATGGAATCTAAAACAAAAATCCAGAAAATCACATTGTATGATTTTTAAATAATTAATTTGCATTTTATTGCACGACATAAGTATTTGAAACATCAGAAAAGCAGAACTTAATATTTGATTCAGAAACCTTTGTTTGCAATTACAGAGATCATATTTTTCATGTAGTTCTTGACCAGGTGTACACACACTGCAGCAGGGATTTTGGCCCACTCCTCCATACAGACCTTCTCCAAATCCTTCAGGTTTCGGGGCTGTCGCTGGGCAATACGGACTTTCAGCTCCCTCCAAAGATTTTCTATTGGGTTCAGGTCTGGAGACTGGCTAGGCCACTCCAGGACCTTGAGATGCTTCTTACGGAGCCACTCCTTAGCCCTGGCTGTGTGTTTCGAGTCGTTGTCATGCTGGAAGACCCAGCCACGACCCATCTTCAATGCTCTTACTGAGGGACGGAGGTTGTTGGCCAAGATCTCGCGATACATGGCCCCATCCATCCTCCCCTAAATAAGGTGCAGTCGTCCTGTCCCCTTTGCAGAAACGCATCCCCAAAGAATCATGTTTCCACCTCCATGCTTCATGGTTGGGATGGTGTTCTTGGGGTTGTACTCATCCTTCTTCTTCCTCCAAACATGGCGAGTGGAGTTTAGACCATAAAGCTCTATTTTTGTCTCATCAGACCACATGACCTTCTCCCATTCCTCCTCTGGATCATCCAGATAGTCATTGGCAAACTTCAGACGGGCCTGCACGTGCGCTGGCTTGAGCAGGGGGACCTTGCGTGCACTGCAGGATTTTAATCCATGATGGCGTAGTGTGTTACTAATGGTTTTCTTTGAGACTGTGGTCCCAGCTCTCTTCAGGTCATTGACCAGGTCCTGCCTTGTAGTTCTGATCCCTCACCTTCCTCATGATCATTGATGCCCCACGAGGTGAGATCTTGCATGGAGCCCCAGACCGAGGGAGATTGACCATCATCTTGAACTTCTTCCATTTTCTAATAATTGCGCCAACAGTTGTTGCCTTCTCACCAAGCTGCATGCCTATTGTCCTGTAGCCCATCCCAGCCTTGTGCAGGTCTACAATTTTATCCCTGATGTCCTTATACAGCTCCCTGGTCTTGGCCATTGTGGAGAGGTTGGAGTCTGTTTGATTGAGTGTGTGGACAGGTGTCTTCTATACAGATAACGAGTTCAAACAGGTGCAGTTAATACAGGTAATGACTGG